CACACAAAAAGTTTTGACTTTGAACATCAGTATTCTCTTTTGGCCAAGTTTGATTGTAGATGATGAATCTTGTGATTCTTTGGGCCTTCTCAAAGCATTCAGAGACAAATTCAAGATTTGAGATGTCTTAAAAAACCAGTTATGTGCATCGCACAGTAATTTTCCAGCACTTATACAACAGATGTGAGTGTTGTGTGTAATAATGAACTAATAACACGCAACACATTTTCCTCACCAATGTCGTCAATTACTTTGCTAGATAGTTGAAAAGGTTTAAAGCATCTTCTGTCATATAAGTCGCATCAATGGAGGAGTGGAAGTAGACACCGTGAGGGCCCGAGACAAAGAAACTGATCAGTGTTTTCTCCTCTGTGTTGGTCTAAGTATCTGCCATTGTAGAACAACCTGTAACTTACACAAGAAGATCTGTACTCCCTCAAGTAGCCTCGATATCTCGTCCTGTAAGATCCTACCAGAAAAAAAGCACAGCGTATATTGTTTTCTCTGTTTGCTCGACAAAGGTGACTGAAACGGGGTAACCCTCGCTCTTTTTGGTCTAGCTTCAGAGAAAGACCTAGCGTTCACTGAATCAAAGCTTTATTCTTTTGCCTTTACTAAACCTTCCATTTCCTAGCATGCTCGGGATCCTAAGAGACCGTTATGAAATTTGAAGCTCCCATGTCATCATCAGGTCTGTTCTGTCTCTTTTCAGCTCCCATCTCCTCCTCATTGTTAGATTGATGAAAACTAGAACAAGACTATCCAGAATCTCCTTCATCCTAGGACATCCTTCCTCTGGAGACTTATCGCAATACATTACTTCTCCTGAAACACGAGCCAAGTGTTGCTTCAGTCTGCATGTTCATCAGCTAACTATCATTCCACAGTAATTTAGCATTTGACCTTCTTCTTCCGCTCGTCTTGTGCAACACCATTCAGGGTCTACTACTCCAGTTAATGCAGGTGGAGCCATTCGTAAACCAAGCTTCAAGGATAGCGTTCAAAAACTTTTTATCAGTTTTTAACAATAACAAGAACACATCCTTATAAACAAAAAGAGACTACTTATTTCGTTACAAGGAAAAGAATTCTACAAATAGAGAATTTATCCCTCTGAACTCTGAGTTAGTAGACAAAAAGAGAAAACGAAAACTCCAGAAAACAAAGATA